TGGGAAGGGAAGTATGGAAACTTGAAGACGTGATCGATAATCGATGAATGGGGTGTCAAGTATGAGCCAGCCGACATCATCTGGACGGTGTGGGTTTGTTGCCGGTGTTTGGGGAGATTGCTTCATTAGGTTTCAAGTGTCGCGGACGTAAAGGGGGACCATGGTTTTTTCGTGGACTTTTTTTTTGGACTGATTTTTTTTTTTAGTGTGTTGTGAGAGGTACTCTTAGTGAAGGGACTCTGGCATTGTGGAGGTCGAAATAGTACCACCTGTCGTGGATGGTAGTTTCACACGGGGAGAAGTTGCTGATTTTCTGGAGATGTCTGACAGACTCAACATCCAACAACTAAAAAAACGTATTGGAACAATCAGCGTCATTTTTTTTTCTTTTGTTAAGCTAGCCGCCTCTTTATTTAGGACACCCGCCTTACTAACAACACTTTTTTAATGTTGTGATGGTCCTTGCATTGAGGTGGAACCTTCAAGAAAAGCTCGAGGTCGGCCAAAAAACACTTTGAGACAGGCTTGATGTGGAAAGTACAAAGATGGGCTTCGCCTGGAGTCAGCTTGAGAAGATGGTACAGGACAGAAGACTCTGGAGATCTTTGGTTGGCGGCCCATACCCCAGCAGGACAGAAGCCTTCGGTTGGAGGCCCATACCCCAGCAGGACAGAAGACTTCGGTTGGAGGCCCATACCCCAGCAGGACAGAAGACTTCTGTTGGAGGCCCATACCCCAGCAAGGGGGAAGGGCAGTTATGGATTGCCTTGACTATTAAAACCACAAATTCAATTAATGCTGTGCGATCTTGTTTATTATTAAATTGTCTTATCACTATATTTTATGCTACACAATGTTCGTACCCACAGTCAAACATTGCACTTTTAAAAACGTCTTCGAATCCTGGTTACACTAACTTCTATGGGAAAAAAACAATTTTTAGCATCATTTTTTTTTTGTTTTCAAAATTGCAGTTTAAAATCTAAAATCTGTGTGCGTTATTACCACACAGTTTTGTCACTTGAGTCTTGATACTGTCTTCACCAGAAAATCATTCACCCTTACTTTAAAACGTTCAGGTCTTATCCCATCTTGCGGTTATCACGTGACTTGATTCAACTTAATTACGACTTCCCACCCTTCATTTCCCACACAAAGAGCCCGCCATTATTTATTGTAATTACGTGTATTGTTGCCTCATCAATAAACCACGCCCACCCTCCTATGTTCTCGGATACACGGAAATGAGCAAAAATCTGGCAATGGTCGCTCCATGCTTTCAGCAAACCTAAAAATACCGAAGTTTTTTTCCCCCTCTCGTTTTCGGAAATTTCGTATCTAAAAATAGATTTCCTTTCATAATTAGAATCATGTCCTTGATTAATTAAGTTCAACGAGGAAGTTAAAAAATAAAAATAAAAACAGTGACAAAGCTACAGGATAGACGCTTCAAGTTGCAAGAGCACTTTAGAGTTTGGCGAACATGGAAAATGGGCAGTAACTCTGGCTGAGAGAAGTAGAAGTTGAACTGATAACGGTCTTGCTGTCGGTAGTGTTGGCCACGGTAGACAGTGACTGCTTACAAACATACATAATTTTTTTTTTAATTTGTATACACTATAGAATTGCACTTACAAATTTTGATTGAAATACAGGGAGGGATATTATCCATATGTTCAAAAAGAATACTTCGAGTATCACACATTGCAACCCCTTCTTCTCGGTTTCAAGACGATTTCCTCCAACACAATGACTCCGACATCAGCCTACTCTTCCTGTTGGATTGGCTTCCATAGCCTTTGTCCATTCAAGAACTTTCATCATTTGCTTTCAGAGGTTTCTCTCCTAGGTGGGTTAATGTCCCAAAGAACGAGTCTCGCCTTCCCCGGGGGTCCGAACTCGGAATCAATGAGTGAGTAAACGTTCGCTCTCCCTCCTGGCCACACCGTTACCTACATAGTGCTACATATAGTCTAGTTTTAATTTATTGTTTGTATTCCTGTTTTTTGAGTCTAGTGTCTGGAGCTCTCCCCCCCCCCCCCCCCCCCACACACACACGCGCCCTTAAACGTTTTCTTATAAGTCATTATGAATATTCTCTCCTAAAAACAGCCCATGTCTCAGCCTAGGAAAACATTAAGAGCTGGGTGAATCCTTTTGACCTACTACACACTCCAGTCATAGCGTTATGTTTGCTGTGTTGTTTTATTACCTCACTTATATACCGTTAGTAAGGAACATAGTTATGTAATCCTTTTGCATCATTCAGCGCAAACTCAGACGTTTTTTTTTTGTTTTTTTTTGTTGTTGTTTTAATTTACCCGTTCAAAAAAATCAACAGCAGTTACATCTTAATGTATTGCAATGAAAACCTATCATCTTTAAAGAAATAAAACTTCATGAGGAAACGGTATTTTGATTCGGCGATACAAAGTATTTCAAATATGTTCCTAAAATATGAACACACTTTTCCGTTGTTAAATGACGTCAGAGAAATCTAAGATGCACAGTAAAAAAAACAAAGGTCGACATTTAAGGCACGCTTTAAAAAAAAAAGTGAGCGGCCATCTTGAATTATGATCTGTGCACACGACAAGTAACGAGCGGATATGTCCAGATTTTAATGACGTCCCCAGCCCCACATTTGAATCTTGACCTTTCCTTTTGGGTTATTTTTTTATTACTTGACGAATCTTGTCATTTTTCTGACTTGTTAATTTGTGAACAGGGGAATTAATCACATCACGTCTATATTGATCCGCGCACTAATACACAAGGGGAAGACAATCACTATCACACAAAGACAATGACTCCCACGAAGGGAGACAATCACTCCCCCACCCCCACCCACAAGGGGAGACCATCACTCGGATTTCACGGGGAGAAGCGACAGGAACGGCGCTGGAATTGATACCTACCGGACACGACAGCTGTAATCACCGCGGTGCCAGACTAACAGGCGGTGTTTGCCGATATGACTGCCGTCTTATTGTCGTCTGCCCTCCAACGATCGGCAATTTTTTTTTGTCTCCGTTCCTGCACGGGTTATTGGCTCGTACTTTGATCGGCGTCTTTGAAGTAATTTTACAAAATCGCTGTACCAAAGACTAAAATAAACAATGCCTCGTTCACTACTTAATTAAAAAGCGTATTGATATTTTTTTGTAATTACTACGTTTGGGTTGCTGTTTGTTTTTTAATTTGAATTTTTATGGCGAGTAAATATTTTTTTTTTAAAAACTAGACATGAAAATAGAATAGCAGCTGAACAAACAAAAGCAATTAAAAAACTTCACTACATCGAAGAATAAAAGGAACAATTCGTGTTCACTATTTAATTTAAAAAGTAGATCTATACTGATGTTTTTAATTGATATTTTTTAGACTGTTTTCCTATGATGTAAAAAAAATTTAGACACGAAGGTGGTTTAATGGCAGGCCAAAAACTGTAACAACTGTACTAGAGATATTTCTAGGCCCCGCCTTACTGATGTCAACTTGCCGGCGTCTGGAGGTAGTTTGTGTTTGGTGGTAGTTGGTGTCTGGTGGCATTTGATGTCTGGTGGTAGTTGGTGTTTGGTGGTAGTTGATGTCTGGTGTTAGTTCACTTACTGGACCGTGTCCTCACGGAGAACTGTCTCACATCTGTCACAGACTCGTGTAGGGCTCGTATTGTGTCCGTTCAACTTCAGTAAAATAGACGTTCGTATTGAATCTCCAACATATTTGACTTTTAGTACTTTACTTTGTTTAGTAGTTGAGATTTAAGCGTCAATAAAATAGACATGTTCGTATTGAATCTCCAGCATATTTGACTTGTAGTATTTTACTTGTTCAGTAGTTGATATTTAAGCGTCAATGAAATAGACATGTTCGTATTGAATTTCCAGCATATTTGACTTTTAGTACTTTACTTTGTTTAGTAGTTGAGATTTAAGCGTCAATATAATAGACACGTTTGTATTAAATCTCTGTCATATTTGACTTTTAGTACTTCAGTAGTTGAGATTTAAGCGTCAATAAAAATAGACGTTCGTATTGAATCTCCAGTATATTTGACTTTTAGTATTTTACTTGTTTAGTAGTTGAGATTTAAGCGTCAATAAAATAGACGTTCGTATAGAATCTCCAGCATATTTGACTTTTAGTACTTTACTTTGTTTAGTAGTTGAGATTTAAGCGTCAATATAATAGACACGTTTGTATTAAATCTCTGTCATATTTGACTTTTAGTACTTCAGTAGTTAAGATTTAAGCGTGATGTTTATCTAAACTTAAATTAACACCAAGTCGTGAAGGTTAGTTGTGTTTGACCAGTTATATTTCCGATGATCAACCATAGGAATAGCGTGCAGGGATTTAACTTTACGTTATATTTTATATTGGTCTTTTAATATACGCCGGTGTTAAAAATTATGTCTTTGATTATATGCCGGTATTCTTTGAGTATATGGCACTTTTATCGTATTAAACATTAAATTTCTCTTTTAGTATAGGCCGATGTTAAACTTTATTATTACACCGGTATTCTTTGAGTATGTGACGGTATTATGGCAATTGGTATTAAACCTTATATTAGGTGTCTAAAATGTTCCGGTGTAAAAGTGTATATTTGTCTTTGGTATATGCCGACATAAAGGTAATAAACTTTATATTAGGCTTCAAGTAATAGACTGGCCTAAACTTTAAATTATACTTTTAATATAGGCTGATGTTAAAATTGGATGCGACTTTGAATATATGCGGGAATACTTTAAATATATGAAGAGATTAAAGTATTAAACCTTATATTACACTTCAAGTGTAAGCCAGTGTTAAACCTGCGACCTGCGGCATTGCACAGTTTAACACGTTAACCTTGCCCAGGCAAACGATGACGTCATAACTCATCTTCTTCAAGCCCAAGCCCGGCCAACACAGAATAAATAAACCGATTTTATTTTTTACCCGACGGCCGATCACGTGACCCCCGGGCTATTTTTAGGGGCCGCGGCCGGAGGATGGACACGTTCCAGATGTTGACCAATCAGACGGCCGGCAGGAACGAGACGGTGCCGGACGGTGCCGGTCCGGTGGAAGACGTGCTGCAGCTGACCATATTCCTGAACCACGGCGTCTGCGGCGTCCTGTCATTGCTGGGTATAGGGGCCAACGTCATCAACATGGCGGTGTTTCTTAAACAAGGTGAGCGTGACGGTCACCTGAGTGGGGGGGGGGGGGGGGGGGGGGTTGATAAAAATTGTGAGATTTCATACACTATTTATTTTAGAGGACAATTTTATATCTCTTACTACTGACAACTCGAAATTCTCGAGTTCGAATTCCAGCGTTAAGTCCCTACAACGTCCCTGAGTCCACCCAGCTCTAATGGGTACCTTACTCACATTAGGAAAAGTATATGCGGCTAGACATAGTACTGAACAAAATTTCTTCTTATATACTTATGTCACAGAAACATGAACCGCCAGATTCTAAAGTGTAACTTTTTGTTTTCCGTATATCATATCCTATTCACGTAACGTCTTATTCCGCCACGAACTGTAAATAACTATGAGCGTCATTTCTCCATCTGCTGCTGTTTTAGCCAATAATAGAATAACTTTTCATAGAACTCTGAAAACGCGTTTAGTGGGGCTTATTGTCAAGGGAGCCATTGAAGTAATCCATTAACGCATCTACCTCGTAAAAATACGTGCTTTATCACTTACTATTTCTCATACTAATTATATGATAGGCGTATTGTTTCTTAAAATATCTGGCCATGCCCTCGCTTTTAAAGTAAATTTACCCTTTTAAACCAAACAGCCTATGGACAGGTGAAAAATAGCTCACCTGTTTCAAATTGAAGCTGTGCGTTTTTACGTAAGACATTTGCCTGAAAGCCGCTTGCCCGAAGGCGGATTTATTAAGTTAACCTCGGCATATGAAAGGATAGTGTGGTTAGCTCTATGCGCAACTGCTTGACTTACACCAACAAGTCAGGTAGCTATCACAACTAGGTGTAAAGATCCCTTTCAAACCTGACGGTCTATGGGGCAAGTGAAGTAGAGTTCACTTGTTTCTGTGACCTCGGCATATGAAGAGATAGTGTGGTCAGCACTATGCCCAGCCGCCTTTACTTTCCCTAACGTAAGTTAGATACCCATCAGAGTTGGGTGGACTCAGGGATGGTCTACTGACTACTGACTTGAACGCGGATTCGAACTCGAGACTTACGGGTTAGCAGTCCAGCTTTCTACCGCTAAACCACGTCGTCCCCTATAACTGGATGAGCCCAACATGGATGAGGCCAGGATCCGAGCGCAAGCCTTATGGGTTACAGCCGTACGCTCTACCATCCGACCACGCCCTATGTTATGGTGTTGTGTAACGTCCCCAATGTATCTCCTGCAGGTTTCAACGAGTCCATCAATGTCAGCCTGTTCGGGCTGGCGGTCGCCGACCTTGCCGGGCTGGTCACGCTCCTGTGGGCCTCCGTCTGCTGGACCCCCTGGCTCTACTACGCCCGGCTCGTCTTCGTGCCGGCGGACGTGGAGTACCTGACCGGAAGTCTGCCGCACCTGCTGTTTACCCGGGTCACCGGTTGGGTCACGGCTTTCGTCGCCCTGGAGCGCTGCCTCTGCACCGTCATGCCGCTGAAGGTTAAAATTATATTGACCTTCACCAGGGTCAAGGTCGTGGTGGTGCTGATATTCGTCTTCGTTGCGGCCGCGCATTCCCCGTCCTTCTACACCAGCGGGTTGGCGTGGACGTTTCTCCCCGCGGAAAACCGCACCGCACTGGCGCTGTTCTCCAGAGAAGGGCGGCAGGCCATTGACGGCGTGACGTATTCCGTCAACCTGGTGTCCCCCTTCGGCTCCTTCGTTACCGTCCTAGCCTGCACGGTCGTCACGGCCTTCAAGCTACAGCGGGTTTTAAAATGGCGCCAGAACTCGATCCTGACTCACGACGCCGCCTCGCAAAAGGAGTCAAAGGTCATCAGAATGGTCGTCGTTATGTCCGTCATTTTCATTGTCAGTTTCCTGCCCACGAATCTCGTGCACATGTTCTACTGCGCAATCGCAGATAAACCGGAAGTGGTAGCGGCATATTGGGACGCCATGAGTACGGCGTTTTCTTTCATTAAAATTCTCGAGGCGTTCAACGCTAGCGTCAGTATTGTGCTCTACCTCAGGATGAGTTCACGCTACAGAAACGTCTTTTGTGCAATGTTTGGTCTCGCGTGCCCAGCTGGTTGAATGGTGGAGTTGTCAAGGATGGGTTCAAGCTACTTAACTTTTCCTCTGTCAATTTTAAGGACGAATATACTTGGTATATTCCTATACGACACGAAAAATAAAAGATGAAAACAGAAATAGCAAACACAAACTTAAATTTACTATGTGATTACAATTAAAATATGTCGTAACCAAAGTTTACGAAGACAAATACAATACAACATTGGCAAAACCGTAAGAAGTCCAATACATGAAAGAAAGTTTTCTTATGTCACTTATGTCTAAAGCAGTTAAAATAACCGCATAAATTCAATGATGGTTACATTTATTATCTTATAGACAAGTAGTGCTTGGTATGATTTGTGGGTGCTACTCAGCTACGTCGTTGTGACTTTAGTGTTGGTGTTTTTGTAGCACTTTTTCTCTAAAAAAAATATTGTGAACATTATTTTCTTACATAAAACCGGTTCGATTTTCAATTTTAAATTTGAATGCGTAAATTAAGTCTGTGAATTTGATTTTTTTTCTTTTGTATGTGATAATCAACTTCAACTAATGTCAATCGAATAAACATTGAGCAATTATTGTGTGCCAAAACAATAGCAACCACCCACACACTGGGTTTTTTTTTATATATATTTACTGATATGACGTCATTGGCTATCTACTACGTCATCAGTCCACTTATGGTCAGACGTAGCGAAACTCCAGTCAAAGAAACACGTAAACAATCATACTCACTCACTCAAACAATCATACTCAATCACACAAACAATCACTTAGGTTTGTTTCCGGTCAGATATGACCCTTAGGGTCAGCAGATAAAGCCGACAATAACTCGTTTAATCGTGTGGACATTTAGTTTTGTTTTCACATTCAAAGCTTTTGTTTTTATCTCGGCGTGAGTACAGTCTGGTTACAGGCGCTCACCCGGGCTATGGTGGTGTGATCCAGTGGTTTCCTCTTCTCATTTGGTGTCTGGGATTGTGTACGTGCGTCGGTTTGATTAGGTTCAGAGGCGTAGCGAGAGCATGGCGGGGGAGATGGCGGAACGCATCGGTGACGCCATTTATGGGGTGACACCAAGACATTATATTGCAAATTTATTTAGAAGAAATTTTTTTTTGCCAGTTACGTTAATGATTAATTAAAGTTAAATAGTCTTTTAAGTACAAATCGACAATTATTACAGGAGTGTGGGGGTGACACCATGACGTAAACGTGCAAACTATAGAGAAAACAATGCTACATCCAACTGTATTTTTAATAGACTAAAGACATACATCGTTACTACTGCAGTGATTAAATCTTATACACATACATGTACGCGTATGTGGCTTATATTTAAATTATAGACCTATGAAGAGTGGGTGGATGGACGGACCCTGCTACAGACAGACGTACGGACGGACGGACGGACGGATGGATGGATGGATGGATGGATGGATGGATTGATGGATTGATGAATATGATACAGATATTTACATATATTATGTAGTTATTTTACAGCGGTTATTGTTTCTTACATACGTCTTTACATACAAATATATAATCAATGTTACATCAATTACCCAAGTTTAAATCGAATCACATAAACAGCTACACTCCGTGATAACTCCAACGTATAAACTATTGTTTAAATAGATAACATCTCGCGCTCCCATCAAAGTTTATCTCCCGCGCATGCGCCCCATCATTAGCTCGCCCACCGCTGGGTGCCGTGTCCCTACTGGCCCATCTGGCTAATGGCCTTGTTGACCAACAGTGGAAACAATGAAACTCACGGGCCGTAACTCTGACGGCAATTACAGGAAAAAGGGGAGGTAATTGATGAGTAAAGTGTGTGACAATGGCGGGTTAGCAACCGGAAGTTGACGTCTCAGCTCAATTGCTGATCGCCTCAAAAAGATAATCAGTGTGTAGCTTTTTGTTTCTAGTTGTATTATTGTTTGGTTGTTGTGTTTTTTTTTAATTTTCCCTGTAAAATAAATATACTTTTTATAATATTTTTTTTTTATTTTAACACTACTAGTTTTAACTATGGGCTTGAATTTTTTAAGTGTTAAAAACATCTAATTAGTAAGCATGTTTGATAATGTTTTTTTTAAAGGCACGGCAAACCCCATTTCACATAAATCTGTTTTTGGTAAAACGAAAATTAAGATTTTGAACTATTAAAATGTGCTGACAATTAGAAGAAATTACATAGTCACCTATTACAAAATTTTACTCGAAAAAACTAGACCTACGAAACTAGACTAGACGAAATAGCTAGACAAAATTATTACAAAAATTTAGAATAGACAAAATTAAACTAGACCACACCGGACAAATCCAGACCAAAAAAAACTAGACAACACAAAACTAGACCAGACCAGATCAGACAAACCTAGACCCGACAAATCTGGACAAGACAAACCTAGACAAGATAAACCTAGACTAGACAGACCTAGACTAGACAAACCTAGACCAGACAAATCTGGACAAGACAAACCTAGACTAGACAAACCTAGACTAGACAAATCTGGACAAGACAAACCTAGAGAAGACAAATCTAGACTAGACAAATCTGGACAAGACAAATCTAGACCCGACAAATCTGGACCAGCCAACTGACCCATCACCTGATAACCCAAGCTGACATTGTCACGTGATAGCCCCAATCAACACGTCCTGTTGTTGACAGCTCCACGTCGCATCCGTTTCGTGGGCGGGATCTGATAACCGGACAATTCCGGCGTCCTGCATTCCGGTCACATCCGGATTCCCCTGTCCGAGCCGTGACATGTCCAACAGACCAGTGACAGACAACTGCTGCCATATCGGATATCCTCTCCAGCCACTGGTCGTCAAACGCTAGCATGTCTTCCGGTCACTTCCTGGACTCAAAGTATGCCATGGTGCCAGTTGTATTTTTACTTTGTCGTATAGAGTATAGAGAAAGTATTGTAAACGTGCAAATCTCGACGTTTTACACCTCCCTGAGTCGGAAAAATATAGTTTGCAATCTTGTCCGTATGTCTGTGTGTGTGTCTATAAACACGATAACTTGCGTACTGTTACAGCTAGGTTGATGAAATTTCATATATAAGTATTATATCAAATTTGTAGATAATTATCATTTTTTCAGCGATTTCCGATAACCGGAAAGGGAACTTTTTCTATTTTCAATTTTTCAAAAGCCTATAACTTAAGTACTATTTCAGACAGATAAATGAAATTAAATTTTACATATAAGTAAGAGATCTAATTCTCTGCCTTCTATCAAATTTTGAGTAACTTCCGTTGACCAGAAGTAGTAATTTTCGCTATTTCCGTTTTCTCAAAAAACGCATGTGAATTTATAAAGTACTAATAATATTCCGCACTATTATACACATTTTATCTGACGTTCACTTGGTGTGCAATTCTTTTTTCTACGAGATTTTAAAAGATTTTAAAAGTTTAAGTAATTAAAAATGGATGTAAAATATAAATATTGTCTAAATCCCGAGTTTCCATCCCCCGTTGTGTTATATAAGAATATCCGAGAAAGTTTAGGGGAGATCACTCCCGGTTTATTTTTTTATTACACTATTGGCAAAAACCTTATACGATTTTATTGGGTTTGTGGTTTGGTCTTATTTTTACTTTTGATATAAATCTAGTTCTCGCTCTCTACCAAAACCTGTTTACGTTTTAATTAGAAGAAACAGTTAAATCATCCAACAACCCAATGTTTACATTTTAAAATTTATGTAACATTCTATTTATTTTTTTAGTAAACTGCTGGTAAATATCCTTAGAATATTTTTTTTACTTTTAAGAACTATATAATAAATAGCTATTTAATACCAAAATAACTATTTAACGCCGAAAAAACTGGTTAATTATTTAATTAACGAAATAAGTATGCTATACCTAAATTGCTATTTAAGACAAACAACTATTTAGTACCGAAATAACTATTTAAATCCCCGACCTGTTTGCTTGTTGTGTTTGAGTTGTTTTACTTCCTTAGTTCTCTCCCCTTTCTCCGTGTAGCCAGCGAGTAAAGCTTGTATCAGTCACAGGGTAGCGTCCGGTCATGTCCGTCACTTGTAATGAGGGGCTTATGACGGAGGAGGGGGGGGGGGGGCTGTGAGCCGCGAGATTAATCGAGGGGTCAGGGATTGTGTGGAATTAGGGGGTGGTGATGAGGGCATGGTTTGTTGTAAACAGCCGTGTGATGTCCAGCTTCATACAGCCGTGTGATGTCCAGCTTCATACAGCCGCGTAATGTCCAGCTTCATACAGCCGTGTCATGTCCAGCTATGTCCAGCTTCATACAGCCGTGTGATGTCCAGCTTCAGACAGCCGTGTCATGTCCAGCTATGTCCAGCTTCATACAGCCGTGTGATGTCCAGCTTCATACAGCCGTGTCATGTCCAGCTATGTACAGCCGTGTCATGTCCAGCTTCATACAGCCGTGTAATGTCCAGCTTCATACAGCCGTGTCATGTCCAGCTATGTCCAGCTTCATACAGCCGTGTGATGTCCAGCTTCAGACAGCCGTGTCATGTCCAGCTATGTCCAGCTTCATACAGCCGTGTGATGTCCAGCTTCATACAGCCGTGTCATGTCCAGCTTCAGACAGCCGTGTCATGTCCAGCTATGTCCAGCTTCATACAGCCGTGTGATGTCCACATACATCATCAAACCCACCATTCTATTGTTTGAACATGAACTAAAAACCTCCAAGCACACACCAGTACTAAAAACTACCGTGTTGCTGAATTAAAACCTACTGAACTTGCCAGTTAAAATGTTTAAAAAAACTAACAAAAAAGTAAAAAAATGTTTTTTATCCTCCCGTGCGAGAAAAAAAAAATTAAACGCAAACTCATGTCGATACAAAGCTATTGAAGCGGTCTCCGCCATCAAACTTCCGGATAATAAAAGCTTTGTTTTTGTCCGGACATCCGTGTTTTGTCCGGCCGTCTCCTGATACCGCGAGCTAACCGTTAGTTGCTACCGTCAGACGTCACTGGGGAGATGAAGAGAAGGAGAAAAAAAAGATGTCAGTGACGTCATTTCCGGGATAATCTTAACCACCGATCATTGAATAAACAAGAGATGAAACGGGTGGGTTTTTTAAAGCTTCTGGTGTGGGGGTTATGACCCGCGCAGTGAAACTTGATTGGGCCGGTGTTTTGATGTCGTCCTGCGCACAGTCGACACGGCTAGCCGCCGGGCAGAGGACGGAGACCGGATGTATGGCAGACATAATACTTGACGCGAATGACACAATAAAGCTGTCAAAAAAAAACAAAAAAAAACTCACTATTGATTTTGGGAATGTGTGTTTTGTGTGTCACTATAGAATCTGTACTATGTGTGAGCTGTTTTTTTTTTATACTGTTTTTTATTTGGTTCACCAACAAATAATTTTAAAACAAGAAACTACTGTAAACACTTTTTTAATTAAGTAATCTTTTTTGACTAAGTAACCATTTACTAAAAAAAAAAGTGCGGGGGGGGGGTGTTGATACCACTACCAGTGTCCGATAATAGAATCTTCTTTAAAAAAGGGGGTATTAGGTTACTGGCTGTGAACTGAAATATAGACATGGTTTGTTAATGTTAATTCTAAAGCTATCCCTAACCCTAGTCCTACCATACGCTTACCCTAATTTCTAACCATAAAACTAGTCAAGATTATAGTACTACTAACAACCTAACACGCTGATTTTTGGAAGAGTCTATTATCGGACATCGGTATCTTGAATCATCCACTGAACGCTCTAGTTTGCCTAGATCCTCGCGTTTGACGAAATAAGCATTTATAGAACACTATGGTATGAATAACATCTACAAGAGAACTGTTTGACTATATTATCATTACTGAAGACTGTTTTGACTGTCATTTAACAATGTATTGATGATTCCGGTTTTACTATTTAAAAAAAACAACTATTAATTTACTTCAGGCCTTGTATGAGCTGAAAGCTGCCTATTGAAGCATTTTTACCACGCGTCATTAGACTGACGCTTTGGCGTCGTGACATTGACGCGATGCATACAGAGATTACCAACCGCTTAGAAAAATTGAAATTGATTTTCAAACCAAGCTCAAAGTCAATTTTTTTTTCAAGTTTTTTTTTAAAAGCAAGCTTGTGTGTTTACAGTTTAGCGATCAATAACTTTCTGCCGTTTGACTTTCTGAGAAGGTGGAAGGTTTTCCATCAGATTAAGTTTAAACCCCGCCGTACTGGTGCGCGCGGTTGATAAATGAGCTCATATCCGTGTACGTGCATCAGTTGAGCGTGAGTGGATGAGTGCTTGAGTGAGTGGGTGAGTGCTTGAGTGAGTGGATGAGTGCTTGAGTGAGTGGGTGAGTGCTTGAGTGAGTGGATGAGTGCTTGAGTGAGTGGGTGAGTGCTTGAGTGAGTGAGTTGATTGGCTAGCTGCAAGGCAAAGGGAAAAAAATTAAATATTTGAAGACTTGAGTTCGAATCTTGCTAAATAGGGCTCGAATCTTGGTAAATATGGTTTAAATCTTGATAAGTAGGGTTCGAATACTGCCAAATAGGGTTCGAATACCGACAAATAGGGCTCGAATACTGTCAAATAGGGTTCAAATCTTGTTAAATAAGGTTTGAGTCTTGCTAAACAGGGTTCGAATCTTACTGAATAGAGTTCGAATCTTCTTAAATAAATGTGTTTAGCACATAAGTGTGTGAAATGCGTTATTATCTCCACTTTTTCTCTAAAGCCGTAGTGTGTCATATACTAAATTATTGTCGACAACTTCGACTAGCACAATCACGTATGAAACGCTATAGGTGTCTCACACATTGTTTTTCATTGACAAGTTACCTTGTTGTTAAAATCTACCTGTCCAGCTTAATTTGTTTTGCCAAGCCATTCTAGCTTGCCTTTAATAAAGCGCCATCTCTATAACTTCACCCAGCCCCCCCCCCTCCAATAAATGTGTCACGTATCCGCCATATGTGGCTGGCGTTAAAGTCAACGCTAGAGGTTAGGTTGCTCTCGTGGGAGAACCTCGAGGGCATTAGGGGGGGGGGGTCTTTGTGGCATTTGTGGGGGGGGGGGGGTCTTGACAGTATTTGTTGGGGGAATCATGACAGCATATGTGAGGGAATCTTAAGGGAGGCATACTTTGTAGAATCTTTAGGGCATTGGTGGTGGAATCTTGAAGGCATTGGTGAGGAATATTGTAGGCTTTCGATAGGAACTTCGAGGGCATTGATGGGGAAATCTCGACAGCTGTGTGATACGTTCCTGTGATGTAGCGACTTGTCTATCTGACGATTGACTTGTATCATCAGCTTTGGCTACTATTTGAGACATTTGTATTTTCCTCTATTCCTGTTTATTTTTCCGTCCTGTTTTTGTTTTATTAGACAGGACACATAGCTGTTTGTCTCTTGGTGCTGCCACGTTTGACCATCGACACGATCACTTTTAGTCCTCGATGCGATCACGTTTGATTTTCGATGCGATCACGTTTGGTCCTCAATGTGATCACGTTTGATTTTCTATTCGATTACGTTTCAATCTTGATGCAATCTTGTATCAACTTTGAAACAATCACGTTTGACCATCAACACAATCACGTTTGACCATCAATACAATCACGTTTTGTTCCTCAATGCGATCACATATGATTTTCGATCCGGTCACGTTTGAACCTGAATGCGAACATGTTTTCCCTCAATACGATCACATTTGACCACGATCAAAACTATTTTTTTCCTCAATATTTGAATCTCCAACCCCCAACAGTGCAACATGAATAGATCACGTTGCCGAGGTCTGTGTCCCCAGCCTTTGTTGTCTATTGCCAGAAGTACACCGTACAGTGTGTCTAAGTCTCGTCACCTCAGCCTCTATCTGAGACACAATTGATGCGAGCCTACACCGTACAGTGTGTCTAAGCCTCGTCACCCCAGTCTCTATCTGAGACACAATTGATGCGAGCCTACACCGTACAGTGTGTCTAAGCCGCGTCACCCCATCCTCTGAGACACAATTGATGCGAGCCTACACCGTACAGTGTGTCTAAGCCTCGTCACCCCATCCTCTGAGACACAATTGATGCGAGCCTACACCGTACAGTGTGTCTAAGTCTCGTCACCCTAGCCTCTATCTGAGACACAATTGATGCGAGCCTACACCGTACAGTGTGTCACCCCAGCCTCTATCTGAGACACAATTGATGCGAGCCTACACCGTACAGTGTGTCTAAGCCTCGTCACCCCAGCCTCTATCTGAGACACAATTGATGCGAGCCTACACCGTACAGTGTGTCTAAGCCGCGTCACCCCAGCCTCTATCTGAGACACAATTGATGCGAGCCTACACCGTACAGTGTGTCTAAGCCGCGTCACCCCAGCCTCTATCTGAGACACAATTGATGCGAGCCTACACCGTACAGTGTGTCTAAGCCTCGTTACCCCAGCCTCTGAGACACAATTGATGCGAGCCTACACCGTACAGTGTGTCACCCCAGCCTCTATCTGAGACACAATTGATGCGAGCCTACACCGTACAGTGTGTCACCCCAGCCTCTATCTGAGACACAATTGATGCGAGCCTACACCGTACAGTGTGTCTAAGCCTCGTCACCCCAGTCTCTATCTGAGACACAATTGATGCGAGCCTACACCGTACAGTGTGTCTAAGCCTCGTTACCCCAGCCTCTATCTGAGACACAATTGATGCGAGCCTACACCGTACAGTGTGTCTAAGCCTCGTCACCCCAGCCTCTTTCTGAGACACAATTGAAACCAAGGGACAAACGCTTCGTGGGAACGAAAATAAACATCTGTACTTTTGGCTTCAAATAATCGTTACGAAATTGTTTCAAATTAACTGGGTGAACCGCTAAATCCAGATGTATCCTGATTTTCTATTGGTGACTGCACCTTTGACTTTTATGAATCAAAGAATTTGATTAGTTCGTGTTCCAGCTTTTTAAAGACTTTCAGAAAAAAATTTTGTTTGAAAAAAAAAATGTCGTGAGGTGAAAACTTTTTTTACAATCAAAGAAAATTTCGATTTCGTGATTAAAATAAGTTAAAATAATTCGTGTTTTTATTTTAAATCCAAACATGACCGTTCTGATCTATAAATAGCTTTGGTTTAGCTCCACTCTACTTTACTAGCCTCCTGCCCAGTCGTGAACACATCCAGTGTGCAGTAGGTTTTTTTTCCGTTTACTCCGTGTGTAACATTTTTTTTTGAAAGCGTGCTCCAGTTGCCATGGAAACCACCACATCAGCGTCTCTGGGTCTGGTTAACGTTCTCGGTCTCGGCCCAGACGTGGTTAGGGTGATCGTGTTCACTAACCAGTTCCTGTGTGGCGTCATTTCCTTTCTCGGCGTCATCGCCAACGTCATCAACACGCTCGTCTATTACAAACAAGGTAAGGGTGGTTTTTTTAGCGCAATTTCCATACTGACAATTGCGATTATTAACTCGTCAAGGATGGATGTGTGTCCGATGTGTGTCCGCAGCTTTAAGTCGTATCTCCTCCTCAACGAATCAATATCGAGGACTAGTTGTTTTTTTTTGTATCAACCCTGCATGTCAGGTGTGACTTGGGCGAATGAAAATGATAGCGAAACTTAAAGAACAATTTTGGTGTAGTGTACACCAGAACTGGTCTTTACACTGTAAAGAACTGCACAGTGCGGCTGTGTGATAATTCTTCTACAATCTCTGATTATTTTATCTGTTTTGTTTAAATCAGGGGTCTCCAAACTACGGCCCGCGGGCAGATGCGGCCCGCGAGGTCCTCTCATCCGGACCGCGTAGATATTTTTGTCCACGGAAAAAAGCGTTTGTTGGTGATGACTGAGGAACTTTGCCCAGAAAAATTAAAGACATGCCAGGAAGAAACTGGCCCCCGAACTGAAATTTGATAGTTAATGCGGCCCTCGGACTGAAAAGTTTGGAGACCCCTGGTTTAAATGATGCGTTTGCCATTTTCTGAAAACATAGAGACCATATTTTACAAACCCTTACCACCTTTTATGAATACGTATATTACTTTTTTACTTACTAATATACAAAGTATAGAGGAAATATTTGAATAGCATTATGACATTTCCTGAAAACAGTCGCAACATAAATTTTGTTTTCAAAAAACCACGAGATGGCACCGTGTCCACTAGCATTCATGTTAACTGGTTATACTTACACACTGGTTGTCGCGTGCATTCAACATTCACGTCATGATATTTGACATTCTCAGCTACTTATGTTTTCTTAACACTCACGGAAACTTTATAAAGACAGAAGTTTATTGGAATAAAATCTCAATATTTGCAGTTTAAATGTAATTGTCTTTCTTTAATTAGCCGTAATTTTTTAAACATGTATTTTCTGGGTCTACTACGTCTATTGTCGCTTCTCTGACCGTTTGCCATTTTTTAACACCTGCATGTCCAAATGACCCCTTGTTAGTATGTCGCCGCTTCTGTTCAAATTAATTAGTCACAGTAGAGTCACGTTGATCCAGAACTATTCTTAAAAACAGAACTCAGATTTTCCTCGTGACCTACACCAGCTGAGTTCATTTATAAGAATAACTTACACCAGATATACCGCCGCCTCTTTTAGGAGATTATCTAATTCTGACATTGATAATCCACAGCATGGACGCTGTGATCTTATGAAAATATATCTCGCTGTAATTTGATTCCATTAACCGTCCGCATGGGGTGTAAGGATAATTTCATCCACGATGGTTTTAAACTTTAAATACATACATATACATATATATATATATATATATATATATATATATATATATATATATATATATATATATATATATATGTATTTAAAGTTTATATATATATATATATATATATATATATATATATATATATATATATATATATATATATATAAACTTTAAATACATATATATATATATATATATATATATATATATATATATATATATATATATATATATATATATATATATATATATATATATATATATATATATATATATATATATATGTATATTATTTATATAAATATGTATGTATGTATGTATGTATGTATGTATGTATGTATGTATGTATGTATGTATGTATGCATGTATGTATGCATGTAAGCATGTATGCATGTATGTATGTATGCATGTATGTATGTATGCATGTATGTATGTATGTATGTATGCATGTATGTATGTATGTATGTATGTATGTATGTATGTATGTATGTATGTATGTATGTATGTATGTATTGTCTAGTGCAGCATACGTCTCTATAGTTTTTTCACCACTGTGTTCTTGAAGTATGTCTGCCTCTCTCCTGAAGGTCTGGACGAGCCGGTGTCCATCTCTCTACTGGCCCTGTCGCTGTCCGACCTGGTGGGTGTGGTCACCTCCCTGTGGGTCGCCGTCTGCTGGAACCCTCTCGTCTACTACGCTGATCTCCCCTTTGTTCCGGCTGATGTGGAGTACCTGACCGGAAGTCTGCCCCACCTGGTGTTTACCCGGATTACCGGCTGGATCACGGCGTTTGTCGCCGTGGAGCGGTGCCTGTGCGTCGCTCTGCCGTTCGACGTCAAGAGTATCTTAACGCCGTCGAAGGTGAAGGTAATTTTGGCGTGTGTTTTCGTCGTGGTGGCCGGAGCGCACGTGCCGTCTTTCTGCACGAGCGGATTAGCGTGGGTGTACGTGGCCGGTTTAAACCGTACGGTGGTGGCGCTGGTGACGGCGGCGAATAAGGACCAGATCAACAGCGTGACGTACTCGGCCAACTTGGTCTCGCCGTTCGGATCTTTCCTCGTCGTCCTCCTCGCCACCGCCGTCACGGCGTATCAGCTTACCCGCGCCTCGGAGAGACGGCTTAAATCGATTTCCGGTCAACGCGTGACCTTGAGAGACCGGAAGACGGTCAAGATGGTGGTGACGCTGTCGGTGATTTTCATCCTCAGCTACCTGCCCACCAACGTCCTTCACGTGTTCTACTGCAGCATCGCCGGCCGCGCCGAGTTGCTGTCGCGCTACACCGACCTCATCAGTCTGACGTTTTCCTTCATCAAACCGCTGGAGGCTTTCAACGCCAGTATTGGCATCCTGCTGTACTGGCGCATGAGCTCGCGCTTCAAGGCCACCGTGACGTCACTCTTCGCTACATCCAAATAGAAGTTGAGGAATCGTTTTATAAAACATGTGCAGTACCTACGATTTTTTTTTAACCACACCGAATGAACACGTTTGAAATTGAATCATGTCGAATGTTCACGTTACTGTTTAAAAATAGTGTTCATTGTTCACAAATAGTTCACATTACTATTCAAAATAAACCGGGAGTGATCTCCCCTAAACTCTCTAGAATATTCTAATATAACACTACGTGGGATGGCAACTCGGAATATAGACATGATTTTTGTTTACTTAAATTTTTAAAAAATTCATTAAAAAACGTTTTAATAACAAGCTTTTATGTAATAATGCACTAAAAAGTAGAAAATAAATTATAGACTACAATTTAAATAACTATAAAGAAAAGCCATGGAAAACCAAATACCTAAATTTTATTCAAGGGAAATAACTTTCACAATGATAGCTAAATTAACCAAGTGTAACAAACACATGCTTGAAAAACACAATAAACGTTCTAAATTTCATTACGTTATAATTTTAACGAATGTTTTATATTATTTATGTCACCGTGTCAAAAAATATATTTTACTCATTGACTACTTAACTGTAAGTTTTGTTTGAAAGTCTAAAAACGGTAGCTTTATGATAACATACTTCTAATAAATGTTGATGACATTATTAGTTGAACGTCTTTTCGATTTGTAAACAAAATTTTGGATCCCTTAAATTAAGGGACAAAAAAAAAAAAAAAAACAAAAAAAAAATTAAATTAAGGGACGCCTTTCACAAATTCAAATACGGGTAACAATGCTAGAATTATAAATTAAATATAAGAATATTATCATTTGAGACAAAAAAAGTTTACTGTTAGTTTTAAATTCCATCCAATTTAATATTATATATTAATACTTCAAGAGTGGTAATATAGATTCCTAAAAAAATATCTTTCAGCTAGAGAACGGCTACGTTTCTTTGTTGTGTGTTCAGTCCTGAATTGAAATCATCTAACTTACGATAAACTCGACTACTGGATATACTCTTCTACATTCACAACACATATTAAACTTCGATACCTAAACATAACTAGACTCGATGCTCCAGAACTACGACAACAACTGGCTTAACTTCACCATGCTCTACAACAGCAAAATAAAAATAACGACACTTTAACATTTCGATACTTTATACCTACGAAATCGTATCAGCATCAGCCTTCCGTCGTTACTCCCAAATCTAAACGATTCATCAAAACCTACCAAACAATTGACAATACTTTGAACACCCCGTCATTACAAAACTCTGTACACCAAGACAGATTTCTAATTCAAAGTTCGAAAAAACGAGACAAGCCTTATTAAAAACCAAAATGTCACGTGTTTTAGAACGCCCCGTTTATCGTTGGAGCAATCACAAAATTACCATTAAAATTAGATAACCGATTGTAAGGTTCGAAATATAAATTGCGGACTTATTTAATCGTTTTCTACATCAATTATGTGACACCAAATTAAAAAGGCAAATTGACTTGTAAAAAGCGCCCCGACATTTCCAAATTAGGGAGGTGGGGGTTGCATTTTCACCATCGCTAATAAATATAGGCTTATAGAGACTTAGTTTTGGGGTGGGGGTGCAACATTGATAGTTAGTCCTGGGCGCCGTAATAGATCGCTACTCCTTTGTATATTACCATCTATTGTTTATAAAAGATAATCAAAATTATTAATTATTATATACTTTTTGATAATCAAAATTATTAATTATCATGTACTTTTTGATAATCAAAATTAATAATTATTAAGCACTTTTTGATAATAGCGATTAAACCTTTTTGCGCCCCCTAGGGATGGCGTCCTAGACGACCGCCTAGTTCGCCTTATAGGTAGCGCCGGCCCTGATTCCAATACAAGACGTTTATTAATTAACTTGACATCACGAGATAGAAATTTGATCCATTTTGCGCCATCTCTTTTTGATATTCAGACTGCCTGCTGCCAGTTATTTTTACACATTCAATTTAAAGTCAAGATTTCCGTCCGTGCTTTGAGTTGAATGTGATTGTAAATACAGAATGGTGAAATACAGTAAAAATCCTTCTAATTGAACTATCCACAAAACACATTATACAAACCTGCCCACTGTTTATACCAAATGAGTTCAACTCCACCACCACTCCCCCTCTTTAACCTTGACACTTCTACACATTTTTTACACTTGACGCCGGCCTGTCCTACACTTGAGTGCCATTGATTTATACTGATAAGATAATCGAAGATAATTGTGAAAAAAAAAACGAGCCGGCATCATCTGAAAATTAAATGTCTGTCTCCTTGTAAACACAATGATCAATATTTATAGTCGCATATGATAATCAATATTTCATCATGAGAATGATAAATTCAAATCAAATGTTTTATTTTGAACAGTCACATTTTTGACAACTAGATTTAAAAAAATATATAATAACAAGTACCTATGTATCAATATCATATAAATTTAATTATAACACTTATATAATTTAAAAGATATAATAAAAGAATTTTAATATTCATTCTTTGTAAATATTTTTAAATTAACTTGCTTTCTCGTACATTAGTCTGTCTCATTGTTGAAGTTTTTTTTTTTCTGTCGTGCTTTTGTCCTTCGTTAGTATAGAATGATCACATGTTCTGTGCAGCATAGTAAAACATTTTTTCTCAAAACATGACAAAATAATAATGTATTAGTATAAAAATTTGTATGTAAGCATTTTTCCTTGAGTGCAATTTTTTTCCATAGAATCCATATTTTGTTGTGGCACTTAACTCTCTTGGACTAATATTGATACCATACATGCAATCAATTATTTCCCTTAATGTTGGTCTGGCTGACTTCTGCCTGAAAATTCCGACACGACAATCATTAGACGGTCAAAAGACGGTGGACTGTTCCATATCCCGCGGTACCAGTACGAACTAGTAGCGTTAGCCCTAACATTTGGCCACGTTATTCCATAAGTTATTTAATACTTAATTTTTTAAAAATGTAATAAACTCCATTGACTGCCTATTAACTATGTTAAAAATCAACTGTCGAGTAGTTGTGTGTTGCAGCTAAAACACGAAAGAATCTAGTTGTATATGTGTGACTAGCATCGGCACACTAGGCAAAATAAAAAGTTGAAATTAGAACGTTATACCAAGCGGCATTGAAACTAGTTAGTAAATTTTAATTAAAAAATCAATTTACAATAACAAGACTGATACACTAAGGCTCTTACCGTGGATTATCTCAATGAATTATTGTGAACATTTATTGTAGTATATATAACAGTTCTTAAGGTTAAAAACTTTATCACAAAATATAGTCCTATACGAGTTTTAAAAACGGCGTTACTACTTATTTATACTATTTTGCATAGTTAATATCTTTGCTGGCAGTTGTGAAAGGAACATGTCAACTCTTTGTGAACCGACACTGAAGAGTCAGTGTCCAATTTTAACCCCATCGTATGTTTACGTTTAAAGTAAAACTTATTTTTATTGTAAGAACCCACCAAAATACTAGTCCGCCTAACAAATACCTGATACATTCTATCTGAACAACACAACGACTTAAATGAGAAAATGGCTGACATCTACTATATTGTTACCTAATGTATAAATAAAGAATAATGTTACAGTGATAAATAAAGTAACACAATGCATTATAACATAACAACTGGCTGTTTTTAATTTAACAAACATAAAACCCTGAAGACTATCACATAGTTCAACCATATTTAAACCAATCAAAGATTTTTATCAGATCGTATTGCAGGTATTGAATACATGCAGACACGTTTGTAAATTACGAGTTTAAATAACCTCAGGTCAAGAAATCGACATAAAACGGCAACGCTTATCTGTATAGAAAATAGAGATTGATTTGAATATATTTTTACGCGTACTTTTTACCAAGTAACTTCCCGAAGGGTATACATGAATTTTCTTAAAATATTGAACAGTCCGATAGACCTCAAGTATTAGGGTAGTCTTTCAGTTAAAATTTTCTGAAAACTTAAACCTAGCAGGCAATATTTTCATTGAATACTTAATAACAAAATTCGTTGTAATAGCTATATGTAAATGATATCGCTAAATGCCAGGAGAAATATACACTGGTTTTAGAACTAATTGGATAAAATTGTAAGTGTGATGTAGTCGATAATTGGATAAAATTGTAAGTGTGATATAGTCGATAATGTATCGTAGGTTGTTACGTGATCTTGTCGTTTAATATAATCGATTAGAGACAACACGTCAATACACTCAACAACTTATAATATCGATTTATATTTTAAGTGGTTAAAACAAGGGAGGTAACTGCATCAGACAAGTGCAGTGATCATTTTGAATCTTCTACAATCTTAAAACGCCGTTAAAGCATTAACAAACACAAGTTTTTTTTAACCATAAGCAGCTTAAAGTTATCCGCAACTTAAAGTTATCCGAGGTTATATTATAATCACAGTTGTTGTAGTTGTTTTAGAAAAAAGAAAAGAAATATATATATGATAGTATTTTTCTGAGAGTTTTTTATAAAAAAAACTAAAATAATATTTTCTCTCATGGTTATTTAAGCATTTAAAAATTTCTCAAACTTTCAACTGAAATCTTTTGTTTTGTTAACCGAATTGCTCTTGGTTTAACGCGAAAAAAAGTACAAGTTAAAACGTATATCAAAGTAATTTTATCATGTAAATTTTAACCTATGTTTACAATCCTTATTTTACCCATACTCGTAACGCTTTCTAATAAACCGGGAGTGATCTCCCCTAAACTTTCTCAAATATTCTTATATAACACTACGCGGGATGGCAACTCGGAATATAGACATGATTTTTAATTACTTAAACTTTTAAAAATAGAATAGAATCTCGTAGAAAAAAAGAAGTGCGCACCAAGCGAAAGCCAAAACAAAATGTGCATAATAGTGCGCAATATTATTAGTACTTTATAAATTTACATGCATTTTTTGATAAATCGAAAATAGCGTAAATCAGTACTTCCGGTCAACGGAAA